CAACAATTATTTTGAAATGCTACGTCACTTACTACACATCATTGACATAAAATGTGTGTCCTGCTCCAGCTGAAATAGCGACAATTCCAAGTGGAATAACTGTAATGATCAGCATTAAAATTGATTATAATCGTATAATATGATAGCTGCATAATTATGCATACCCCATATTATAAGTCCAGCTTTGACTGTGTAATGGCTGATCGATTTAGCTTCAAACACTTTCACAAGGCTGAAATAGAGGTTGAGAGCTTCTGCAGCAGTCCACCCAAAGTACGCTAACATGAAGTAATGTAGAATAGCTGAATTTATTCCACATGCAATATCGACAATGTGTGTTTCCCCATATGGTCGTATGTGACCGCCTACAACGAAGAACACATATATCCCCAATAGAGCTACACCCAAATTGACAAGCAATTTTCCACTGGTAGAACTGCGAAGTTTCCTGCAGGTGAATGTGCATGTTAGGATGCGAAAAATTACAAGTGTCTTACTTTGCCATAATGTAGGTAATGAGAAGTATAATGATACTTATGATAGAAGTGGCAGCTCCTATGTATGAGAACACGACTAATACCACCTCAAAGTGCCTGTCCAATATCACTGGTGTCACAGCCTAAATGCATACAATGCAAAGTTAACGTGTTAACTGCGGAATTAGCTTACCAGAAGCAGACCAAAGTGTCCATATGTGTGGCACTCACAGCAGGTATAGTTACTGTCACTTGCAGTGCAACTGACTTCCACACAGCTATCGCTGGACCATGCTCCCCGGCCACCTACATAAAGATAAATATTGATGACTATGTATTATACTTTTAGAGAATTGTCTACCATTTCCACCAGTATTGAAATTTGAGCAGACTTCTTGATGCTGCATGGAATGGATGGATAAGTAAACACTTTATATTTTGATTTTTCTAACCTCATTTCCACTTTCACTCTCATCATCTTCAACAAGTCTTAGAAACCCCATGGTTAATGATGGACCACTACTAGGTTTTCCTGATATTGACACTACTGCTGATGTAATATTCGCACCAGTTTCATTATTCTGAAACAAGTTCTCCTGTCTGTAAACCACTACCGAGAGTCTAAGCTCATTTGACATGTTGTCGTTAACTTCTACGAACACTGTTAATCCCTCTTGCTCTATGTCACCAGAGAAGCTGATATTCACTGGTATTGTAATGTTCTTCACTACTTCAGGAGGTCCTAGGTTGGCACCAATGTTCCTCTTCATGAATTGCTTTGGGTTTATGTCGAAAAGTACAAAGCCATAGGTATCAAAAACATATGTCTCATTAGTCATATTAGCAGGTAGTTCTACATTTAGTGTAAACTCCTGGAGGGTGTCTAGTATCCTGAGAATATTTTGAAGTATTGAGGTAAGTGATTGTGTGTCACCAACTAAACTCACCTAGAAGAGGAATTGTTTTCTATTTGACTTTGTACAATTAAACTGCCATCTGCCTGCATCAGGTTATCAATCGTTTTCAAATAATTTTGTCGAACCTATAAGTGTAAAAAAAAGTTAAACTACTGTTATTACAAACTTTCCCACATTTGCATTGGTAAGTGCAGCTGCCTGTAGATCTCGCAAATCAGCACTCGCAGAGGCAATGTCATCTGAAGTTAGTAGCAATGGATCTGAAGTCTTCAGAAGGAGGTTTTCAGAAAGAACGACATCTTCCTTTTATTAAAGGCATTCATGTATCTAAAACTGCACATAATTAATAAGTTCATCCACTTACAAGCTTGAGATTGCTCAAGGCTGTGTCACCTACTGTTTCATCAACATTTACAGAAACGGTATATTCTCCCAATGCTCCCTCCGTTACATTTAAAACAGTCACATTCACACTTCCAGCTGAGCAGATGGTAATGATCTCAATGCCAGCAATTGTAACTGCTTCACTCAGTCCATTGCATGCAAAATAATGGGAAGAATTTTCCGTGGTGTATGGAATTTCAGGAACAAACGAAAGCTTTATCATAAAATCTTGCTGTACAAATGTGCTGATGTAGAATTGAATAGTAATGGCACCTCCAATTACTACTGCAACTGTTTCCTCTCTTACAGTAATATTCACGACTCCTGAATAATAATAATTTTGTCTGTTATTTTTTACTAATAAAGGGGGTGGCTTACGCTGAGGTGTAAGATTGAATAGGAAATTGTTCCATGTTGTCGGATTAGAGCATGAAGCAGCTCTGGATATGTTAGCTGTTCTATTATCTATTTGCAACCCATAGGCTCTTGTTTCAGGTAGATAATTAGTGAAACTTCCACCAATGTAATTTCCAATAAATGAGCAGTCAGAAGCCACAAAAGTATTTGAAGCTCTAGCCCAGCCCAGGTCTGAACAGTTGTATGTGAAAACAGCATATGTTTGTGTTCCATCGGTCACTAGTATTGTTTCAAAGGTATTTGTCTAAAATAAATAAAAACATTGTGAATCTATAGTCACACGGCAAAGAACTCACCCTTGGATCGATCTCATTTGGCCTGGTATACGGATGCACATTTTTCCATTGAGCAACTAGCATCCACGTTGGAAAAAACTGTATACTCCCCGCCATATTTTGCTCACGAGAGATCCAGCCCAAGACACGTTCAAAAATCCTAGTGTGCGAACTGTTGCTTCGCTCGAAAGTTTGATAGGATATGCTGGCATTGTGCGTTGCAAAGACGTTGTTGATATTACTCCAAAACGGTGCGATGGCATATATAGATTCTCCGGGATCTTCACAAGTTTTAAACTCGCCTCTACACACGCAGAGAGATGATCTCAAATGGGTTGGCTCAGTTAGGATAACCCCATTCTCACAAACCTAGAAATGTAGCAATTGGGTATATACTGGTTTTAGCTAATGTACTTATTACTGTACTGTCCTATCTTACCGAGATATTAGGAGCTCTAATTTTGCCAATTGGTATGCCCCCAAGTACTATTATCGGACTAGAGCATTCGTCTACATCCGATATAGTGAGAGGGTGAAGTTCCATCGGATTGTCCAACGCGAAGTATGTGAGGTACGTCACAGGGGTCGTGTCTAGAGGCGCAAAAACAGTCCGTAGGCTACCCTACATGCAACTAGCTTACCTCGCCTTGTAGGCGTAGAGCACCCACAGTAGATACTGACGGCTAAAGTCAGTAGCAAAACGTGCGGCATCATCTCGAGCCCCACCGCCTCCTTTTGAACGCCGCCGAACGAGCCTAGATTATGAGCCCCACCTACTTTTTGAAGCAAACCCTCGCCGAACTGCACATGCGCGGTACTGCTAATTTGATGGGCTGGGCTATTAGATCAGAGTGCGTTTACTCGACTCGTGGTCTCCACGCTAGCTCGCGGAGAGTCTGACACGGGCTAGCTACAGTAGTTGATAGCATGCGGGAGTCGATACAGGCAATTAGTTGTGACTTCATGTGCCTCCAAGGTACACAGAGCAAGCGGACCCGGTCGAGGTAAGACTGTGCTAATTTGCATATTGGCTTGTTCACTTTGTTTTCACGCCATTACTTCTGAACGCGGCACTTTTACGAAAATCATAATAAAGCCAGTGTAGCGCTGAACCAGTCCATGCACGTCTTTCGTTGTGGCTTTCAAGATACACGAAGCGAGCGGACCCGTCTAGGTAAGCCTGTGCTAATTAGCAATTGGCTTGTTGACTTGGTTTTCACGCCATAACTTTATAACGCAGTTCTTTTATGAAAATCGCCTTTTTCAAAATGAAGCCAGTGTAGCGGTGAACCCGTTGGTGTCGCTTTTTTGGCCGGTTGGTTGCGCGTGGTGGCAGAAAACGTGGTAACAGACAGACAGACAGACAGACAAACAGACACACAGACCAAGTACTGTAACCGTCGCTGCGCATGCGCGCCGAGGGTTATTGTAATAATTTTAACGACCACTAAAGAGCCAGGGTGGCTCACTACTATTGTGCATGACGAAAGAATGATAAATGAAGGATGGTACGGAGTGGTTCACTTGTGGGTGGGAATGGCTGAGTAAAAATATAAACTTCTTTTCCTGGGACATAGAGCGATAGTAAGGGAAGAGATTATCTACCATTGTTTCCATTTGTTGCCTCTTTAATGAATATTGTGGACACACACACAAAAAGTGATATTCGTCTTCAATTATGTCACAAACTGTACATAGTCGATCCGTTACAGGGAGAGGCCTGGGCTTATGGAACCTTCCTACCTCAATTGCCAGTGAATGTGTGCTGGTCCGTAATCTTGCCATGTCTGTGAGATTCTTAGGTTGATGGATATTTAGAAGGTAAGGTTCCAATTGTTTTAATTTTCTGTAGGTCCGCAATTTAATCCCACCTGAAGAAGATGAAGACATTGAAAAAATGGAATTATGGACACTAAAGTATATTCTCCATGTTCCGATCTCAACACCAACCATGGCAGTCCAAGAATTAGGACAACTTCCTCTTCATCTGTGGTGGAAAGAAAGACTGCTAAAATATTGGGACAGACTTTGTTCAGAGGATATCCCACTCCTACTAAAAGATGCAGCTAATCTCTCCATTCACAATGCAGCTAATAGTATAATTATAGCAAAATGTGGCTAGGGAAGATTGTCTCTATACAACCAGACAGGTTTTACATCAGATTTCGATAGGAATCAACTAATGTGCGCAATGAGAGATCAGTTCCTACAGAAGTGGAATGAATATCTACAAAAATAACACAGTGAGAGAGGCGCACCCCAGATCTCACATCCAATGATTGGTAAGTATCTCATAGAGTTTGAGCATTACCGGGACTGGTGGATGTTTCAGACTTGAGTATAGGGGTAACAGTGGAAAAGAAGCCTTTGGTGCTTGTTGGGAAATGTGTTGTCTTTGCCTTATTGAATTTACCATTTTTTTAACCAGATTGGTAACAATATGTCTGTACTGTTTCAAGATGAAAGTCTTTCCAAAGAAATGGCCTCTGATACCTGCTTCTTCCAAATATACATATTTTAGTTTTATCTGTATTTACCATTTCCGGCAAAATGACTGTAGAGTCTGAAGATGTTTTTGCAGGCCTGATGCACTTTGGGATAGCAATATAATGTCATCTGCATACATGAGTAGGTCTAAACGTGTGTTGAACATCTCAACCCCAGCATCGTTTATTCCCAGTTTCAGCTCTAGGTCACTAGTAAACAACTTAAACAACAGTGGGCTCAAGTTGCAACCTTGTCTAACACCTTTCTGGTAGGGAAAACCTGCAGTAGTTTTACCCCTTGAAATTTTCACAACATGACTTTGCATTAGCAACAAGGTAATGAAAATCACTACAGCGGTTTTCACTCTTCTTGCACCTTCAAAGCTTAAAAGCGGAGAGCGCATGCATAAGTTTCGAAAACTTACAGTGAGCCCTAGGCGACTTGAAACAGCAGCAGCTATTCACTGTTCAACTCAAACAGGCTCGCTCTTCTATAAACCTACCAGGTGTCGCACCGCACTTGCTCCGTGAGACTAGATGACCTAGTTGCGAGACTGTTACACCCAGAGAGATGTATGTTTCCGATGGCTTGCCAGAGCCGATCAATGTCACCATATCATTGACTTTGGACTTCGTTGGATCCAGCCTACCGGCATAGGCTACTCTTCTCTCTCCACGCATTTAGCCAAGGGAGCAGGCCGTTGTCAACGTCAGAACCTGCGCCAGGCTAGAGAATTATTGTGAAGTGGAGTCTGAGTGTACTGACTAGTCCAAGGGCGGCTCATAGGAAGCAACGATGAAAATAACTCGAAAACACGCGCATGCGCACACCGCTTTGCACCTTGGCATGCAAGAAGCATTGAAAACCGCCGCAGACCCTTGACGAACTGCGCATGCGCTTTGATGGGCTGGTCGCGGAGAGTCTGGCACGGGCTAGCTACATAAGTAGATAGCATGCGGGAGTCGATACATGCCTTTCGTTGTGACTTCTTGTGCCTTCCAAGATACACAGAGCGAGCGGACGCGGTCGAGGTAGCCTGTGCTAAGATTAGCAACGATGGTGCGTGGGCGTATGTTTCAGATATATTTTTCAATGGCACAGCAAAAACGCTAGTGATTTATGGTGAATTTAGGTATATTTCTCGGATTTTTCCTACCTTGTTTTCCAAACTCATTAGCATATTCATATTAATCCTCCATACATTCTCTATGGGAGAGAAAACTCGTGCGCGACTCACCCAGGAACGAACGGTCCGTCTCCATTATGCGCAGTTGTCTGCTTCGGTACGCGGGAAGCTAATTAGGAAAAAATGGGCGTGACCGGGTGGCAAAGGTCAACGTGAAAACGTAAATGCTCAAAACTTGGCCACGCCTATTTTTCTGGGTGAGTCGCGCACGAGTTTTCTCTCTCATAGAGAATGTATGGAGGAGGAATATGAATATGCTAATGAGTTTGGAAAACAAGGTAGGAAAAATCCGAGAAATATACCTAAATTCACTATAAATCACGAGCGTTTTAGCTGTGCTATTGCTAAAGCATACGCCCACGCACAATCGTTGGGAACCTAATTTGCATATTGGCTCGTTGACTTGCTTTTCACGCCATAGCTTTTGTTATCCTTAAAATGAAGCCAGTGTAGCGATGAACCGGTTGGTAGAGAGTCAGCGATCAATTATCGACCACCAGAAATTTTCGGACGCATTTGTAAGACTATGAAATAGGCTAGACATAAACTGATAATACCAATATATAGACAGGTACACGTGGTCTCGGTATCCGAGAAATCTCGGTCCTGCCTTACACACAAACGATTTTATGAACGATCGAAGTGAACGTCCGATAACCCCAGAGATCGGGAAAAGTTACCAATTTCCGGACGCTCGACACCAACACTTTGAGAGAGGACGGAGGAGATTCCAAAGCTAGTGCACATGTAAAGCTACCCTTCCTCTATAGACACGCCATATCTATGTTTCCTCAAAATTCCGCAGAAGCAGCTCGCGGTCGAGCCAAGCGCGGGGGTCACGCCCTCTATTTTCGGACTCGCGACTGCGCACGCTCCCTGTATCTAGTAGTCACATGTCTTTGTACAGCCGATCGGAGAAGAACAGCAGGTAAGTAATCCTTGTTTTCCTGCACGCAGACTCCGGTTCGGACTGAAATTTGCTGTGTTTATGTTTTGTTTCTTTATTATTTTCTCATCCAGGTGGCTCTGCGCAGGCCTTCTGGCCAAATAGTCGAGTTTTGCTCAATGTTTTCCGTTGTTTTTGTTCTGTGAGTTATTTTGCTGTAAAGCATGCGAGTAAACATTGTGAAATACTAAATCTGGGGTGTATCTATGCACTAAAGGGAGGCAAGATGTGCAGCATCATTATGAGTGACATAGATGTGGTATGTGTATGTGGAGTGGATACATACTTGCGTCTCCAGTTTACCCATGCGAAGCTTTGTAAATAGTAGGTGGATAGCACAAGTAAACTTATTTGTTGTGGATTGCAGTTGTATACAAAATGTTGTGGACTATACATGCATAAAACCACTGCCATATTTTATGGTTCTCTGTGCAACTAAAGGCTACAAGCCTGGAAAATCCACTTGCTGAAGCCTGAAAAATTCACTTGCAGGACAATATGTGTGGAGTTGGGGAAATTGGTGTGTATATAGGGGCATACCTCTGGTTGTGTGTGATAAGCTTTGTTCTTATGTAGATGTATCTGCAGTTGCACACCTAATCAAAGATGCTGCAGTACCCAACATTAAAAGATAGGGTCTTTATAAGCCACAAAAGTATCCACCTACTTGCACCGACCCAAGTGCAGCGTGGGACATACAAGGGCTGGACTGATTCACAAATGGAGCAGGCCCTCCAGGCAGTGGTTGCTGGCGACGCATCTATACGGAGGGCGGCGTTAGATTATCATGTGCCCAAGTCGTCTCTTGGTGACCGCGTTAGCGGCCGAACGGCGCCAGGAACTAAGAGTGGCCCACCACCATACCTGAATGCAATGGAAGAGGGTGAACTAGTTCAATTTCTCTCAAGGTGCGCATCCATAGGGTACGGAAAGTCACGTAAAGAAGTGTTGTCGTTGGTGCAGAGCGTTTTGGACAGTAAGGGGGACAGAAGACTGTGACTAATGGTTTGTGGGAGAGTTTTTGTCGACGTCACCCCAATCTGTCCCTCAGGAGTGCTGCTCCGTTGTCTCTGGTAAGAGCCCAGGCTTCAGACCCAGAAATGGTTATCGATACTTCGATCTGCTAGAGCGTACGCTAGAGGAAAATGAGTTGACAGACCATCCTGGGCAGACTTCAACATGGAAGGAGTGGCATGCCACTTGACCCGAAGCGCCAAAGGTTTGTGGCAGAACGAGGTAGTTCAGTTACTACGGTTGGGTCAGGGAACAAGTCCCAAGTAACAATAGTAGGGTGCTGTAGTGCTACCGGCCTATGCATGCCTCCAATGGTCATCTGGGACCGTAATACACTTGCACCAGAACTAATCATTGGTGAGGTCCCAGGCACAATATATGGACTTTCGGGCAATGGGTGGATGGACATGGAGCTTTTCAACATGTGGTTCTGTAACCATTTTTTGAGGTACGCTCCTTCAGTTCGACCCCTTCTCTTACTGATGGACGGGCACTCCTCACACTACTTCCCTGACACCATTCGTCTTGCAGCACGTGAAAGGGTTATCCTTTTCACATTGCCTCCGAACACCACCCACATGTTGCAGCCTCTGGATAGGGGGTGTTTCGGACCACTCAAAATGGCATGGAGGGAGGAATGTCACCAGTACATGAGTGAGCATCCAGGAAGGGTTGTTAAAAAATTTCAATTCTCAACACTTTTCAGCAGAGCCTGGAGCAGAAGTATGACAATGGCAAATGTCACCGCTGGCTTCAGAGTTACCGGCATTTATCCGCTAAATCGGAATGTGCTTTCTCTGGACACTTCTGTTGCAAAGCTTAGCCAAGAAACAGGTCTCTTCCTACCGATGCATAGCCCAATGTGCCAGTCAAAAAAGCGAGTTGTCTTTGATTTTACCGATGAAGAGATAAGCCTCTTTGAAAGGCGGTTTGAGAATGGCTATGACCTGACAGGCGACAAGCGTTACAACCTGTGGCTGTCTCGATACCACCCCGAGTCAAGTCTGCAGCAATTGTCATACAATAGCATTGCAGTTAGCAGCTTCCTTAGTTACCCCTCACCACCAGCTAGGGCTGAAACACTGATGCCAAAGTCTAGTGGAAGAGTGCTAACCAGCACCGAAAACTTAGCTCTGGTCAAAGAAAAAGAGAGGCTGAAGGAAGAGAAGCAAAGAAAGAAGGAGGAGAGGGAAAGAAAAAAGAAGGAGAGAGAAGCTAAATTTAAAGACACCATGAAAGGCTCGCTGAATAAGAAAGGCTTCGTTGACAGTTGTTTTAATAGCTTAGTGTGATAGCCCTTCTAGTCACTGGTGCAAATATTAAATTACGTGTATTACACTTGCAGGACAGAAGAAGGCTGGAGTATGTAGAAACAGTTGTAAGCTGGCAGGT